TGTTGGGTTTAGGGTTGTTGGGTTTATAGTCTCCATTGTAGTTCCATTTTTAGGGTTACGTCTTAGGATCCTTATGCTAGAGTTGGTTAAGCCAAAAAAAGGAGCTACACTGAAGACTTCAGGTAAGCTTGAAACAAGGTTTGGGGTACCGATGACGATACCTATAGCACGGAAGCCCAAAGTTTGGTAATGTATTCTGCATTCTGGACCCGATATAAGCCGGTTATGGGCATGACAGTCTGTAGGGCCTAGGGCCTGAAGAGGATGTGAAGGTTTTAGTACTTATAAGATGTGTGGATCTTGGGGTTCTGCTTTCAGGTCGGCTTCGCCGCTTGGGAAGTGTTCAAGTGGTTTGAAGATCCAAAGGCTAAGAGTTCGGGCCCGGGGGTTGGAGGCGGTGCTGATGGCGGAGGTGTCAGGAAAGCTCTCTGTCATTTCAGGGGCTCTGCCGTGTTTCTGCATGTGCCACAGCAAGTAATCTACCAGTCGGAGGCCCTCCTTCCACTCTATGCAGGCCGCATTCGGAGCTTAGTTTGGAACCCGGGAATCAGAGAGCATTTCGCGGGCTTAGCTTCATGACGGCAGAAAGCTTCCGGCATGGCCGAACAAATCTTGTCTTCAATCCCCCAAGCAGAAGCGCGCTCCGACCATGCCAGCAAACCGGATATACGGAGAGTCATTTCAGTCGGACCTTCAAATCAAAGATGACAGACCGGGCCATATGAGGTCAAAGCCCTGATTGTTTAGTTGCAGACATCTACCGCAAAGCCAGGCTGCGACTTGCTGGTTGCAGCTTAGACTTTGCGAGGACGAGCCTTCCTTGGATTCCTTGGCTTGCTGCATCCCAGGATACAGAAGACACTTGTGAACTCTTGACGGGCGCTTGCAAAGGCTGAGCGCCGGTTTGAAGTGAAGACTCTCCAACCCTCAATGGCCAGACCCCCACACCTGAAAACCAGAACCCTTCGGCTGCACAGTATGGCTGAAGACAAAGACGAGTCCTGGCCTGTTTTGCCAATTGAAGTCCGGTTGCTCGCGGAATCCTCGGCGACAGTTCGGGCTCAGGGGTCCCGATCTTGCAGGACTTTCGAGATCTTTGGGGGCCTTGGAGTTTTCGGGTCCTGGGAGTCTGGTGTCAGAGATTCGCCTGCTCGCAAAGGAAACGAGATGTTTGGGGCTGCCCTCGTCTTGGTCGTGATGATAGTTCCCTGTGACCCACTGAGGCAGCTGTCACTGCATCAATCCTTGTAAGAAAGGCACCGGCCAAAATGAATGCGTAGCGGTGTAACACAGAAACAAGCAAGTGACTGTTAGAGACTAATGTTAGTCGTGATACCAGATGAGGCGAATCTAGCAACCATAGCGGGATGTATAGACTATCTTTTTTGCTAGATAGCAGAACGGGCGCAATGACCACATCAAGAAATTCGGTAGCAGCAGCAACACCAACACCAACACCAACACCAACACCAACACAAGCAGCCGCAGCAACAATTAAACCAACAGAAGCAACAGCAACAGTTACAGCAGCAACCACGGCAGCAGCAGCAGCAGCCGCAAGCACAAAGTCGCCTGAAAACACCTTTGACGGTGTTATCAGCCGCAATCGTCACCTTGCAAAACAAGACCAGTCTAAGTGCACACCATCGAACCATGCAGAAGACTGAAAAGAGGTCTGCATCCAAGGCTTTGCTACAGAGTGTGACCATGAAACATGACGCCACGATGGACAACATAAAGTCACCACTACAATCCGCCACAACTCTACAACAACAGTGAACGTCCAGAAAACAGGAAGCGATAACAATAAGCCAGTGAATTCCAGCGGCCTCTTGGCCAAAACACTGCGGAGCCGTTGAAGCCCAGGTCGATGTCCCCAGGCGAGGCGGTGTATCAGTGTCGTGAGTGTGGAGACGTCCTTACAATTGCCATTGCATGCTTCTACTGTTGCTATTGCCAACTTCTGACACTCTCAAGCCCAAGAATGCACGTCACCTAGGAATCAACATTCCTCATGAGATATTGAGAGAAGCTCCTTTCAACTAATCGGCCATGTCACGAGATGGTCACATTCAGCTGGACCAAGCTGTCCCAACAGCTTCTCCAGCTCTGCAGGCCTGGAATGAGGAGCTTGTCACGCGTGCCCACGTCACGAAGAAGTTGGAAGCTCCTCTAAACAAAATGGAGCAATCTGGGAGTTTCCGAAAATTAGGGTACCTTGTTTTGGGGTCCTTATAATAAGGATCCTATCATTTAGGGTACTATATTAGGGTCCCCTATTTTCGGAAACCCCCATCTGTGTTCACAGAGTTACAAAGCCCAGGTGCGATGCCGCTGCAGCCAGCTTCGATCGCAGCTGCCGCGTCATGGTGGTTGCTTCTATTCTGCTGGATCGAAAATCACAGGGACAGTTTGGAGATGGTCGTGGTGTAGATGGATACACCGATGGATCAGCTACAGAAAGTGTTACCCTGTAGACACGTGTTATATCATCGAACATCGAACCTATTTATTCCTTGGTTCATGCACATGCTAGGTCTTGTGCATAGAGACACAGACTAACTCTCTTTCTGTCTCGCTTGAGTGATTCCTAGTGTGAAGTCGGTGCTGCATGTTGCGAACATAGTTCTGCAGTAGTTGCCTCTAGATACCCGGCTGCTACATGTCATCACGAACCTACCTGCATTCTGGTGGAAATTATCATGTGAAGCAACTGCCGGAGTGTTTCGGGTCGGTGTGGAGGCTCATGGAGAGCTCGCAACCTGAAGCAAGGGCTTCGTGACATCGTCGGTGTTCGTCTTCCGTGTTTCATTCAGATGCTTGAGAAGGTGGCAGGGTGTTTGCGCTCAGAGATTGTGCAGATACGCGCGTTGACATTTCGCACATTACAGCTCCTGCTGATGGCGACCTCGTGGAATGCTGACATGTTGCAACCAACTACTAGCATCAGGGGTACAAGCGCTTGTACAGTCATCCACAAGCCAGCTTCGTGCCTGACTGCACTATCCCGCTGGCGGCGCAGCGCATCTGCCTCTGCCTGGCTGTGTAGCTTCATGTCTCGATGAAATCCACCGAGGCTTTGGCGTCTATCTTTGCCCCGTCTCAACGTCCAACAACCCCTTCACCGGCAGAGGCAGGGTCGAATAACGATAAGGCTGGCAATCAGTGTACGCGCAGGCTTCATACAAATATATTCAGTTGTCTCTTAGCACATCTGACCTGATGGCCGTGCACTCCAAAGCTCAGCTTCCAAATCAATTCCAGTCTCAGCGGAAACCGAAAGCAGCTCATCGTGTCTTCGAACTCTGTCTGTTTCTTGATCTTCTCTTCTCCCCTTCCATGGGCAAACCTGAGGAAGGCCCCTCTTCGGGTTCAAGGTCTAGGCAAGCCTTGGAACTTTGGATACCTTATGTAAGGCTCCCTTGCTTTTAGGATCTATGTTCGGGTTCCTCCTTTCCGGTCATCTCCGAGAAGCAATGACCGTCGACAGCGCCAAAGACTAAGCTCCTAAGCCTGTAACCTCTTCAAACACCTATGTATAAACTCCAGCGAGTTCCTTTTTGGGGTTGCCTTGTTGGATCCTAAATGGAAAATATATGGCTTTGCACAAAACAGGAACTACAATGGAGACTATAGGTACCCCCTGAGCACGGACAGCCTCAAGCCCAATGCATACCGTAAACCCTCAACCAACCCTATTCTAATTATTTCGGCACCTACATGATAGAACCCACTCATAGTAGATCCCTTATAGAACCCTTTAAAGGAACCCTTTAAGGCTTAAAGGAGCCCTTTAAAGGAACCCTATCCTAATTAAGGCCCCTGGAGTACCCCCGCGTGCCTTGCTCTTCGACAGCGACAGGTCGGAAGCAGCTTGCGCCAACTCTGCGGCCTGGATGGGCTCTGGGTTAGTTGTCGGATTAGGGTTTAGGGTTTAGGGTTTAGGGGATGCTCTTCATATTCTGACTGTTATTGGTATTTTTCTTATTATTATTATCATTGTTCTTATTATTGTAATGTTTATTGTTACTATTATTGTTATTGTTATTCCTATGAGTTTTTATGGTTACCGGCAATGCAAGTTTTGTTGCATGTATCATGCACTACTGCGAAAGATCTCGTAGCCTCGGCTGACAGAAGTCTGACCTTGCCAGGTCTCTAGCTCGCCACAAAGCTGACTCGTTCGACAACCGCAGGCAGCGGCTTGCTTTAAACAACATGAAGAGGATCTGAAAGCATGAACTTTGGACGTCGCGTGAAGCTCGACATAGATACTTAAAGCTCGCATGGCCTATCACAGCATTGTGACAGATATGGAACTGCGTGTAACTAGTAGCACACCTCGTTCGCTGTCACGGCGCTAGCCAAAAACCTCTGCAACACGTAAGTCGCTTAAATTAGCCTCCGACAAGCTAATCAACTCCCTTCGTCACTGCAATCTCCCAGGCCTTCTCAAACTCATCGCGCTGCCGGGCTAAGGCCACTTGGAGAGCCTGGATTCTCTGATGAAAAGCTGTTTTACTACAAGACGTTGCGAGAAGTATACACCTGGTGGGATGCCTTCCACCTCTCCGGGATGACAGTGGTGGTGGTGGTGGTGGTGGTGGTGGTGACAGCAGTCGTAGCACAAGTAGCAGTAGCAGTACATAAGAAGAGGAGGCTGCCCTAGCAGGCAGGGAGGAGGAGGATTCGGGGTGCTGGTGATGGTACATGTCTGGTTGGAACGGCGGCTTATGAGCAGCTTGCTATCTGTGCGCCAGGCACCTTCGGCGTCTGAAGACAT